ACATAGATCTATTAGTCATTTTTATACAGGGAACGACATCTCAACCTATCTTTATGCCATAAAGTGTATCTCTAGAGGTTTTGGAAATAGGGTAAATATTGGGTTATTACATCATAGTTTTATGGTCGAAACATCTTCACCGTAAGCTGAAACAATTTATTAAATACTGATATACAGGGTTCGGCAAAAATGTAGGATGTTTTTCAAAGTCATAAAAAATTTATTGTTAGTTCGAAAAATAATGTAATGGTACAAAATCATTCGTGAGGTCATAGCATTTGTATAAAAAATAAAATATATAGTAAAAAAATATTTTTGAGGTGAAAAATCACGTCTTGCATATGATGTCCGTTTTCTGCAATGAATACACGATTCCTTGCAATACGTCTTCTTCTGTTTTGTATTTTTTGTATTGTATTTATATATAATTAATTGTTTAGTTGTTATGATACTTCTAAATGGTGCTTTAAAATAATTTATACAATTGTTTTTTATTCCTATACTAGTATATTTGTCCTGTAACTGGTTTTAAACTGTTGGGCAGTATTTATTTATTTATTTAGTTCAGGAATAAGAAATGTGTTGATCATGTTCATGAAGCGCTCTGCATTGACGGTGACAGCTACTCCGGTTTCGTTAAAGAAAAATGGTCCAATATTGCCTACACCACACCAAACGGTTACTTTTGGGCTATGTAGCGGTCTGGTGCATTTCTCGGCGATTTTCAGCAGCCCAGTATCCCACGGCTCCATGTTTGCTACTAAATGTGAAATGCTAAAAGCCAAGGAATGCAAGACCTCACATCCCTCTCCCTTTTCAGACAGCCGAGTACTAGCCATTCTAAAAACATCGGTTTTTATGTCGCACCCTGTATAATATGTAATAATATTAGCCAGATAAACAGGGTGTACCAGAACTCGCGTTACAAAAAAAGAGGCGTGCTGATAACAATGGAGATGCCAAATTTAAAAATAAAAAATTTCTAGGCAATAGTGTAATCCAATGAGAGCAAAAAAGCGGAAGCCTAGGTTAAACATAGGAGCTTCAAAAATTGGTAGGAGACGATAAAACATTGTTGTCTTTTTTGTTTCTTTGGCCGGCGGAGGAATTCTTTACGAACACTCGGTACTCTTAGGGCCCCGAGTACTGTGGGACTCCGTCTAATGACGTATACCCACTAAAACTCCCCCGTTAGGTGGTTCAAAGCCCTGCACTGCGGTTTGCTTTCGCAATCGTATTGTGCCCTAAATGGTATTACTTCCATAGCTCTAGCTCTGTTGCTTTTATGAAGCGCAGTAGCCGAGGCAATGGGAGAAATTTTAAAAGTTCTGGTGTGTTTGGACTCTCCCAGGTGTTTCCTATTCTTCTTCGCATCCTCTACACAATGGGTCATCTGTCATCCCCATTATATGAAGGTGTTTTTGAATGGAGCATGGCCTGTGAGAAGGCCTAATGCTTTCTTTAGTTGGGTCCTGGTGTATGTCCTCATTGGTTTTTTCCTGGACGATTCTTGGCTGGTGCCGCATGTGGATTCCGGCCCCATCAGCATGGTTTCGGCTTCATCAGCTGCGAAGTTGGGCTTCCACCTCATCGAACTGTTTCTGCCTTCTTCTTGCACTAGGATATGAGTTATCTTGTTATGTGCTTCGGTTAATGTCGTCATAACTCTCAGACATTCTAGTACGGCTTTCGAATTGATTGACTTAAAACTTTTAAAAATCTTTTGTTCGACTGTGTTTACTAACCTTTCACAAAGGAATGTCACACTTCAGGACGCCAATGTTTTAAAGTAAAAATTAAACTAGTTCTGTAACCCAGAGCCAAAATTTCTAGCAACCACTACAGAATTCCACTCTAGCGGGATTATCTTCCTGCGGCAGGTGCTGCACTCGCTCAAAACGAACGTCCTTCATACGGCTTTAAGCCGCGTCCAGATTTGTACCGCGTCGCGCAACCGTACCACGTCGCGAGCCACGTTGCGAACCACGACGCGAATTTCATCCCGCAACCACGTACGCCGCCTCGAACAACATACCGTACCTCGGGTTGCAACCATTGCCGCGTTCCAATTTTTAGTCAGATTTTAAAATGGATATCGCTGCAGCAGCGTAAATTTATATTCATTTCGCTTTATCAACTAAAAAGCGAAAACAAAAAAGGCGGTGGTGGCAAACAGAAATATTTAGAAATAGACCGAAATATGGTGCGAACAAATTGCTTGCAGATTTAAAGATGCAAAGAATTAGTGGTCAATATAAAAATTTCACTCAAATGTCAACAATAGATTTTGAATATCTTCTTAATGCAATTGGGACCAAAATAGGAAAGCAAGATACCAAGTTTCGAAAAGGAATCTCAGTGCAAGAAAGACTAGCTGTAACATACATTTTGCCTATATAAACTAATTAAAAGTAGAATATTTTCTTCGGTCCACTCTATTTCATACACAAAATAAAACTAAACAAACAAAATTGCCCTTCTGCCCGTCCAGACTTGTTCAACGTCGTCGCATACCAATCCTTTGATGTTTCGTCAGTTTACCGACAAGTCGTGGATCGCGACGTACCTCGAGCTGCAACGCTTATTAGGTTCGCGATGGCGTTCGTTTCGACGTCCAGATTGCGCGCGACGTGGTTCGCAACGTGGTACGGTTGCGCGACGTGGTACAAATCTGGACGCGGCTTAACCCGCTAAACTGTGAACGGGAAATTCGCCTGCAACTTCCATTATGCTCCTCCTACTATTAGCATCAAAAGCATTGAAAATAGCTTCTTTATTTTCCGCTGTTCTAATATGTAAGGAAGCACCTTCAATTTCGTTACAAATTGTAACTTACAGTCCCTAGCATTGCGCCCTTTACTCCCCTTAATCATCATTTCGGCATAACCAGTCCACCGCATTGCGCCCATACTCCCCATAAATAATCATCATTTCGGCATAATCAGAGCAAAACATAACGTAAAATGTTAAATAATGACAGGAACGCAGTTTCACAATGAAGTGGATTCCAGTCGTAGTATCCTAGCAATTTCAAGAATTCCCTATGGCCATGTATTGGTATTGGCTATCGTTTTTTATTCTTATCTCGCTTATCCTTTGCGTTAGAAAATTTTAATTTTCAAGCATAACTTTCGGCACGTTCCCTTTTTTTATGTGGGACACCCTGTATAGATTTACAAAATAACAGCCTCATCGTGAAAATTTTATGATGGTTAAGGCCACTCCCGGATTTTTGTCGCCGGGTCGGGCCATACGCCCAGTTTAGGCTAGTGGAGAGCGGGACAAGGAGGGTAAATGTTGGTTTTTGGAGGACATTGAACTGACCCAAAACTAAGTACAATCCGGAATCCTCCTCAACCAGGGCTTTAGTAATAACCCCATTCAATTGGGATTCATGAATGGGGGTAGGAGTGTTAGTAAGCTGCTAGAACCTGTCCTTCTTGGTGTCCTGAACTTCTCTCCCCGAGTCGGTTTCCGGTTCCTGGTAACCGCTTTAGAATTGCTTGCCCACACATGGGATACTGAATCCTGTCTTCAGACCCGCCGTAAGTGCCCTCTGCCTTCGTGGTTGTTCAACCCCTCCTTCCGAGCACCGACTACCGACTATGTATCTTCTTTGTTTATTTTGTTATTAGTGTATCAGCCGTTTACCATTTAAATTTAGTTCTTTGCATTCTTACTTTATTATCAATTTAATTTATAGTTATTTACGATATAAGTGGGTTAAGAGCTTTATTAACGTACGCATGCGAAATTTGCCCAACGAGTGCGTAGCACGAGTTGGGCAATCGCAAAAGTACGTTAATAAAGCGTTATCACACGTATATTGTACAAATTTTTATCTACGCCTCTAAATGAAAAAATAAACGGTAATTATTTTTGTCTAAGACTTAATTTAGGGTTATTTTGACATTTTGACATTTTGACTTTTTTATTTGATTGGTTAAAAACAGAGAAAAACGCGTGCGTTAATGAACTTCTTATCTCACTCAAAATGAGTGGGATAAGAAGTTCTTATCTCACTGGCGTAGATAAAATTAATTTACAAACTTAATACACAAATAGATGAAGCCGGCCCTGTAGTGTAGGTAATTGGAATACGACCCTATTCTTATTTAACAATTAGGAAGTTATATTTTTTTAATTTACTGCTTCTACCATTTGTTTTTTATATACTCGAGAAGGTCTCGCAGTTTGTTTATTTAAGCAAAGATTAGAAAATGGTTTGCTTACTTACGAGTGTACCTTCGAATTTGCTTTACTTTACTTTACTTTGATCTATTTAGTGTAGGGTTGATTAACCCTGTTTAACTCTTTTGTTCTTTCTTGTTGATTCTAAGGATTTACTTAGGAAGGTATTGTCAAGTTGGGTCATAAAAAATACAGTGCCGTAGATATAAACCAGCCGTCAGTTAATGACACAAAGCTTTTTAGTCAATGACTGCTTTTAGTCTATAATTTTAAATCGCTCAAAAATAGTTGACAAATTGTTTTTAAACTTTTACATACATTCTAAATCGATAGAAAAAATTTATTTACATTGCATAATTAGTTTTTAAACTTAAATACTTAATAACTATTAAACTAGGTACTTAAATTTTTTTCATTAAAATGTAAAAAAACTCTCATTGCATAATTTAGACCCTGTAAAAAAATGTTTAGCCTTGTTATTATTTATATAATGTTAATATTATTATTATTATTTATATAATGTTAATATAAATGTTAATATAAACTGTTTAAAAGTTTAAGTTAAAGTTTAAGTTATATAACAATTATTGTTTCGCTACACAGAGCATCTTCAGATCGTATACCAACTAATATTAGTTTGTATACGATCTGAAGATGCTACTGTGTAGCGAAAGAATTGTCATATTTAAATAAAATAGTGAAACTTTTATACAGTGTAGTTTATATTAACATTATATCAACATGGAGTTTTATCAAGTAAAAGTCGAAACAATTAATTATTGTTATTTTTTAACCTACATTTTTTTCAGGATTAACATTGGATCAAAATTTGACGATCGGACAATTGGGTCCGCAATCTCCATTAGAAATGAAACCTGATGCGTCCCAACTAGGCCAGTTTAGTCCTCAGGGACCGAACAGTCCAGGATCGTTCTCATTGGGGGGCCATGCCAGTGTGCTGAGTCCATCGGCAGGGCAAAAAAGCGCAAACTCTCCGTACCCTCCAAACCATCCACTAAGTGGTTCCAAACATTTATGCTCAATTTGTGGTGATAGAGCCAGTGGAAAGCATTATGGAGTATATAGGTACCTATTTTTCTGTTATTAGCTTATTTGAATAAAATGAATGAAAAAATATTAAATAGGCAGGCGGCTTTTTTTATTGTAAACTAAGGTGCAATTTAAAAATACATTCAACTTAAAAGATATATTATATCTACTTAGTTAAACTTGCAGTTGATAATTTTAATGGATACCATTGTTCTCACAACGATCGATATAGAATTTAACTGTCAGATAAACTAACTGGAACTTAACCAGAGATTAATAAACCGGCCTTTAATCAAATAAAATAAAAGTAGTTATTCTAAAGCCTTATTCAGAACCTCGTAATTAGTGGAATAAATTAGTGATTTCAATTAACGTAAAAGTTTGTCTTATGGATATGCACAGTGTTGTTCACAACCAAAAAATTAGTGGTAGTACTTTTCAATTAGTGGAAAAAGTTAACTTTTACCACTAATTATAATTGGAAAGCGGCTTTGCGCATGTGCGCGGATATTTTATGTCAAAAGCAAAAAGTTTAAAGATTTGCCAGTGAAGGTAAGGTTATATAAATATTATTGTAATGGTTGTACAGGGTGATCCCCTATAATGTCGCCCCCTTTAACTTTTTTATTTTAAGTGTGGTTATGTAGGTACTAAAAAATACTTTTTTTCTACGTATAAAGAAAATTGGAAAATTGATCAGTATACAGGGAAAAACAAAAAGTTTATTTTTTTTCAATTGATCACCCTATATATGTATTTATTTTTCAATTCCCTGTAAAATTCCAAGCATATTTCATATAACATACCATATACCTAAATTCAACCGTTTCTGAAATATTTAAATTATTTTTAAGATAATAAGTTGGAATAGTTTGTCTTTTTCTGTCTGAGTAGGCCATTTTTACTTATTTAACAAGACATATTGACATAATGTCACTATAATAATTTATTTTCAATAAAAATTTTGGTATACTGAGGCTTCTTGATTTCTAACAGTTTAAAATAACATTTAATGATAACATTTCGAATGCGAATATTTCAGAAACAGTTGAATTTAGGGTATGGTTTGTTATATGAATTATGCTCAGAATTTTACAAGGAATCGAAAGATAAATAAACTTTTTGGTTTTCCCTGTATATTGATCAATTTTTCATTTTTTTTAATACGTAAAAAAAAAGGATTTTTTAGTACACTTTTAAATTTTTTGGGACACTTAAAATAAAAAAGTTAAAGGGGGGCGACATTATAGGGGATCACCCTGTACAAAATATTATTTTATTATAATTAATATTGTTTACGTCAGGTTAAGAAAAATGGACAATCTTTTAGCAAATTCCCTTAATTTTAGATGTTAATTTTCCGCATTGTGAATAATCGTTTTGTGTTAATTATAAGTATGATTGAAACCAGTAATTTTTTCCACTAATTACGAGGTTCTGAATGAGGCTTAATGCTTCTTTATAAACGATGTTGTGCGTATTCTTTTCATTTGCTAAGACACGTTTGTCGAAAAAATAAATAAATAAAAAAAGTTCCTGGGAATTTAAAATATGCAAAAAAACATTATTTTGCAAAAATAAAAAAATAATAAAAAAACAAAAAAAAACCATTTTTGGAAAAGGTCAACTGTCTAAATGCAAAAAGTTAATATGTAAAAGGCTTGTAGGTATATATTTTATAAGCCGCCTTCGCCACACCCTACGTAATAAAACAAAACACTTTTAATATACTTCGCCTTCTATCAAAAAAAAAGAAAAAACATACAATAAAAAAAACAAAACAAATCAAAAATAAGTCTACATATATTGCCAATGAAAGTCTCGTCAAAATTGATTCAGCCGTTTCGGAGATTATCCCAGACAAACATTTTAACACTTTAATTTTATTTATATGTATAGATATATTGCAGTAATGAAACAACGTTGTTAGGCACGTAAAATAATTACTATTGCAGTATTTAGAAACTAAATAAAAAAGTCAAATGTAATTGTAAAAAAAACATTTTTTTAAGCGCATAACAGTTCGCGGTTCAAAAGTTAAATTATTATACACCGCTGTAGAATAATAACAATACATAGGAAGAGTGGTTCCATTTCTCGAAATCAGTGTAGGTAATTGGAAAATTCAGGCCACTGTAGAATAAATTCATGCACACAACCATAATCTACCTATGACAAAATGTCGCAAACTTAAGAATTTCAATGTACGAGTAAGTACAGAATTATAAAACGCTGGCAAAAAATTTGTATGTATACAACACGGCGAAGAAAGCATATAAACAGCCTCGCTTAGATTTGTGAACAATAATATTATTATTAAATTGTTTAGAAGCTTATTCATGGCGGAAACCTGACAATCTGAGAATTTTGACTCTCTGAACATGTGAACCCAGATTACATTTCTGAATTCACCATGAAAAATAATTCTTGAGCGTGAAAGCAAGGTTGCTAAAATATGTGCCCTCCCCTTGAATTCATAGTGAACGCGATGTTCTAAGTGAATGCGCATCCCAAACAACCAGTTTACATTTTATGTACGTACATAGTACGTCGACCTTCGACGTACCTTACATTTTACGAACGTACTGCGATATCTTATGTACATCCTAAGTACGTACTAAGTACGTTCAAATTCCACTCGATAATACGTTTTATGTATGTACATTTACCAAGTATTAAGAACGTAGTTTGTACATAAATAAATCGTACTTTTATTCCATACACAGAAAAAAGCTTTAGTTAGCCCAACTATTATTTGTTTGATTTAACTAAATACATTTTTTTAAACCATTTTTTTATATTTTTTAAGAAACTTGAAATTCCTTGACGCATTACTAGTACACTACCAGTGGTATTATTCCAGAATATTGAACCTTTAGCTCTCTAGAGGAAATGTTTTTAGTGCGTTCACCTACTTGAAATTCTTCAAGAATTGACAGCTGTTTCCACCTATTTAAGGTCTCTTTAGTATCAAACAACTTGTATTGTCACACCAAAGTAAAGGACTATCTAAGCCTATATACTCTTCATGTAAGTCAACAGAGGCGAGATTTAAGAACATCACGTGATCCATACCGCCTTTGCCGCGATCGGTACACACTATGCAACCAGGAATACTTTAGAAGTATTTTGTACATACCTTCTTTCTACATACTATGTACGTACTGAGGACGACTGAACCTTACATTTTATGTACATAATATATAGTACGTACTTAATACATATTTTTTTGGTCTTAAGACGTAGTTAGGTAAATATAACCAAAAATTTACATTTTTAAAACGTACTGTGTTGTTTGGGATGTGCAGCTAGATTTTCTAACATTTAGGGTTAATGTTATCTTAATTTGTTTACATTTCCATCTTAGAATTGGTTTTGTTTGGATAGGTATAATTTTTATAAAGTTTAATAAAAAACGATAACTCACGGTGCATTCATTTTTAAAGATTCACGCCGTGCGCCCGGTGTAATTAAACGTGCATTTACGAATATTATCTGGGAAGGAAAATTATATATTTTGTGATTAGGTTTGTAATTCTATTTCAGTGCGAAATAAAATTATGCTAATAATATACTCCTTGTTTGACCAAAAGGAAATTTTATTAAAGAGAAGAAGTGGCCACCCTGTTATAAAATAACATTTACAGTTTTAGCTTTTTTGTCACATTTTATTAAGGCTATATTAACTATATCAACTAACAAAAATATATAGCACCCGTACACACGGTTAAAAAATTAATTTAACATTGATTGTATCTTAAATATTAAGTATTCTCATATCTTTGTGCACAATGGTATGTGCGAATAAGATGTTAAAGCAAATTTTATATAGGTACTTGAAACGCTTTCAGTATGCACATACAGGATTCACGGATTGTGGGCAAAACAACATTCATTTGTCATAATGAGTAGCGACTGTTTTAAACAAAACCAAGGACGCTGTGATGCAACACTCGTGCAGGAGGCCACGGTCACGGTATGCTTCCTCCTTTAAGTTGTAATTACCGGAGCAATTTATTTCTTTTTGGATAATTGCACTTAATGATTAGCACCTAACGCGTATTTTGAGACTACATGTATACATAGTTTTATAGTATTATGGAATTACATTTTTTAAACAAGATAACTATTTTTTTAAACCTGTGCATCTTATTGATTTATTTCAATATAGTGCCAAAAAACTGATTATTAAAATTATTTTTCGGCTGATGGAATTTTGACTGTATTAGGGGATAAGGATTAAATATTTTTGTGCGATGGTTTTATAAGGTGTATTCCTTAACCGTATCCAATGTTGTCTATATAATGTAAATTAGTAGATAATAAATCGTTTTGCACGTGTTTGTGACAAATAGATGCCAGCCTTGGTATGGTTTTGAATTTGCATATACCATCGGCGGTATATTGTATTAATCATATAAAAAGTAAACAGTCGAGATTTTGCTACACGCGTATGTTAATTATTTTTTCATATATTTAATTGCTCTAAGGACTATTTCATTTGAATAATGCTTTTATTTAACATTGTTATAATTATCATGCTGTGGGTGTGCTAGGTAAACACTATTGCTAAATGAGATAATTTTAGTATTAAAATCAAATAAATACATAAATTAATATATACAGGGTGTCCCATGATCACTAAAAAACGTTTTAACGTCCGTGTTTCGGGTAACGGTGCATGCAATTTTCTCTTCGAAGAACTCTTCGAGTAGATCAAACAGAGTTATATTTAAGTTTGGACATTTTAAAGAAATTAGTAAAAAATAATTTTTGCACAAACATAACCTCAAAATCAATCATTTTTATATTTGAGTTCTCTAAAAAAACGCCGACAACTGCATTTTAAACAACAAAATATACCTACGAATTCATGGCAACATAATATTATATATAATACATAATATTAATATAATGGTATTTTACCGTTGAGTGGAGACTTTAAAGAGTTCTTAATCAACGCTTTTAATAATGATAAATACTATTTAAATTTAGACGACTTATTTCTTTGACGATATTTACTAAATTGAAATGTTTACACTTTTCACGTTAATCACTGCTAAAATGTGTATTTATTGTATCTTATAGGTACAATTTATATTTACAGAGACACATTCTGAAGAAGCTACTGTGTAGCGAAACAATTGTCAAAATTTAATAAATTTCGTGAAACTTTACAACAAAGTTGTTTTTATATCCACATAGTTACAGAGACTGTATGCAATTTATTTCTTCATTCAGATTAACACTGTTTATTGGAAAACCGGTAAAAACTCAACCCAGGATTTCCTCTCGAAATACACCCAACAACACAACAAATCGATCCACGTTTTTTTTTTCGATATTTTTTAACATTTTCCGGCTTTATTCTCAAAAACACTCGTTTGTAACCTAAGCGTTTGACAGCTGATTATTAAAAGTTCTACTTTTGTTACGGTGATAACAGCCGAGTGGTGGCGCTACTAGCGATACTTCTTTAGCGTATAGGTAACCTATATAGGTTACCAACACTGATTTTGAGATATGGACGGATGCAACCAGACTTCCTAGGTAATTACAATGCATTTTCATTATTGTACTGTGGTGTATAATAATTTGACTTTTAAACTGCGAACAAGTATGAAGTCTGTAGGCTTATAAGTATTATAATATGAACATTGTTGTACGCTTGAAAAAAGAACGTTTATTGCAGTATTATATGCAGTATTTTCATTTTTGGTTTATACAGCTGACTTACGTATCACAGCATTCGGTTTTGTCCAAGTCCGCATACGCATTCCGTAATTATTAATCGGTCTGTATAATTTTACTGTAAAATACGGTAAATAAAAAATCTCAAAATATACCGATATCCATAACATCTCCGAATTTAGATATAAATTAAAATTAAGACAACGTTAGAACTCAATTTTCTATCTTATTATTGCTAGGTATAATTATTCGTTTTAAACCAGGTGAGAATTTGCGCTAGAACTTGACTTACTAAACTATTTGTATCTTTGGTAATGTTCCAACACGTATGTCGCTTTGATCTTTGCTACACGTCCAATGTGATGCGGCATGTGATACGATGCAAGATTCTGCATTATAAATATTATAAGTCCTGCGCAACATTAAGTGGATAATTAACATTTGAATGTATTTTCTTAAAAATATACTCATCCTGGCACTATCCTTCTTAGGGCTTTTAATATATCATTTACATATTAAATTAAAATAAAAAAAGGTGGCAATTGCGTTTGTCCAAGGAGTGCTTATGATTGCCCATCAATAATTTTATTTGCTTATTTCCGCATTAAAAAATACTTAGTCACCAAAAATTAAAGTTAAAAAAATTGTAATTATTACAATATTATATGTAAAATCGTTTGTCCACTTTTTTTGAAAGTTTACTTTTTCAATACTAGTATAATCAAAATATGTTATTAAATATGCAGTAGACGAGGTTTGCCCAATTTGAAAAATCCAATCCAATTTATATATAAAAAATTTATTGCGGAAATGGACAACATGGGCACTCCTGGTACAAACAAATGGCTATTTTTGTTGTGCCAAAATCTCAGAGGTTAAAATGTATGCTATTATTAAAACTATTTTTTAAATTGTAAATTTAATTGTTTTTAGCTGTGAGGGATGCAAAGGATTCTTTAAGAGAACAGTTAGAAAAGATTTATCTTATGCCTGCAGGGAGGAGAGAAATTGTATAATTGATAAGAGGCAAAGAAATAGGTAAGATAAATAAAAAATAATATTTTATGAAATGTATGAAATAATTCATATTTGTTTTAGATGCCAATATTGTAGATATCAGAAATGTTTACAAATGGGCATGAAAAGGGAAGCTGTACAAGAAGAAAGGCAAAGAACAAAAGATAGAGACACTTCTGAAGTGGAATCTACGTCGAATATGCAGACTGACATGCCTATTGAAAGGCTCCTTGAAGCTGAGAAAAGAGTTGAGTGCAACGATGCATCTGTTTCACATGAAGTAAGAACATTAATTTTATATTTATTATAATAATAATTAGACGGAAATTGGAATAAAATGCGTACTGACAACACATTATAAGCCTAATCGTGAACATTTTTGTATTTTTATGACTTTTAAAAAATATTGTTTTTAGATATTTTTTTCCCTAATTTGTTGTATTTTAAAAATAGTAAAAGAAAATAAATAAAAAAAATTCGGGTAGGGGGGTTTCCACAAAGGCGTAAAATGAAATTATAAAGATCATAAGCTTTTAAAGATTTCTGAAAAAACAACAGTTTCTCAAATTTCGGGGGGTTAAACCCCCCTCCTGCATACCCCCCTAGTTAAACTTAAATTTAAAAAATGACTTTTTCTACGACCACTATGTAAAAGTCACTTTTCATGATGGCATCGTTGCTTAGAAAATGAATCTTTTCATTGGCAAGGCAAAACACGAATGTAAAGTGACATTTCTGTGTGAAAAGTGACAGGTCTGTGTGAAAAGAACCGGAAAGCATCGTTTGACATTCAGCTGTCAAAAAAGTTTTTAGGTTATTTTGTTTTGTATGTAAAAGGGTCGCAGAAAAAACATTGTGTTATACTTGTGAGAAAAGCTTTCTTCAAGCTCGTGTTAATGCAAACTCGGCCTAACGGCCTCGTGGGCAACTTAAAAACTCGCATGAAAAAGTCGCTTTTCAACACTTGTAAAACAAATAACTATTTCCTACTTCCGCTATGTAAAAGTCACATTTCCTATGGCGTCGTTGCTAGGTAGTTTCAAGGTAAAACTCCAATGAAAAGTGACGTTTCTGTGTGAAAAATGACAGGTCTGTGTGATATAAAGACAGATTGTTAAAAGTGAGGTTAAAACCGCTGACAGTTAACAGATGTTAAGTAAAATGTCAAATAAAATTGGCTTTAAGGTGCGTACTGACTTGCAACAAAACACTCTGTTCAAACCATACGCGCCGCGCGCGCTGCGCCGAATGGATCGAACATTTTTGTGGAAGATCGTGTCGTTCGTAAGCATTTGCTGTGTTCGTCGCGTTCCCGCTAATAAAGGTGTGTTTGTCAGGATAAATGCAGGTGATATAATAATAGCGACTGGTGCTTTTTTATTATAAGTGCTTTAATTAGCAATAAGAGAAGAAAAAAAAAGTAAAGAGTGGTCAAGATTTCTCTTTTTGCGTCGTAGAAATTTGGAACTACTCAGGGATTTGGATCAAATTTATTTACAAAATTTTACGGACGTCTGCAGAAGATTTTGAGAACATGATATGGTTCCTGAAATAGCAAAGAAAGATACACCACTTCAAAAAACCTGTTCAAGATCACTTATTACTTTACACTTTTTAGCTACAGGAGACTCGTATACTAGACAATATTTATTTAAAATTTCGAAACAACGAATTAATTTTATAATTATAGAAACCTGCAATGCACTTATTCAAAGACTTAAGAATCAAATAAAGGTGTATAAATATAATTTTCGCCAATCACTTTCCAGCCGTCAAACTTTTTATTTTTATTAAAATACAGCCCATTTTTGGCATCCCATAATAAAGAGTGCTTTTTATATTCATCTATTAATTTGAGGTACTTTTCCCTGCACCATTCCATCTTTGCAACTTTTTATAATAATTATAATTATTATACAATGCGCGTCAAAATTAACGCATAATAAGGAAAAAAATTCTAACTCTAAAACGCCTTACCAATCTATGAAATTTTGTATAAAAATACTTCAACTTATATTCAGTTTACATGTTTGAGGGTTTTTCGAGAAAATATTTTTAAAGCCCTTTTATTTAATAATAAAAAAACGTTCTAAAAATTACCTTTAGGGATTTTTTTAAATAAATAAATAATATGCTGTTAAAGACCGTATTTTTGTTAGTATACCCTGAAAATTGTGTACAAATTAAACGAACAGTAACGAAGATACAGCGCTTCAAAGTCCGTAAAAATGACCCCTTTTTGATTATTTTGCTGAAAAGTGGTCATTTTTGACGACTTTGAAGTGCTGTATTTTCGTTACTGTTTGTTTGATTTGTAAAAAATTTTCAGGGTCTTCCACAGCATATTTTTTATTTACTTCAAAAATCCCTATAAAAGTTTTTTTTCGAGCGTTTTTTATTAAATAAAAGTGCTTTAAGGATATTTTCTCGAAAAACCCTTGAACACGTAAACTGAGATAGGTAGAAAGTTAAAGTATTTTTATCCAAAATTTTATAAAGATTGGTAAAGGCGTTTTAGAGTTGGATTTTTTTACTTGTTATGTGTTAATTTTGACGCGCAGTGTATTATAATCAATAAAAATAAAGAATTAAAACCAAAAAACAGGCCAAACACGGCAAACTCACGTTCCCCGTTGAAAACTGGCGAACGACTAATTCGGCGAAGATCCCTTTGCGCAAATTCGATTTACCGACAATCATCCGAAAAAGTTTGGCGCGTTCCATTCTGTTCGGCGCCAGGTACTCACCAGCGCAATTTGTTGCAAAGCACGCGGCGCGTTTGGTTCGTTCGCACCTTTAAATTATGAAAAAACATTACTTTGTTTGCTGTATAAAAAGCTTTGTGTTTAATTGTGAGAAAAGCATTTGCTAACTCAACTTTTGTAAAACAAATAACTAGGTACCTACTTTTTAATATGAGGTTAAATTTTTTTGCTACGACTCACCAAAATATGTAATTGCGCAAAATTTTACATTTTATTTTGTCATGACGCCGCGTATTTCTATGACGATAATTTGTTAAAAACATCTAAAAATTACGCACACAAATAATAAACTATCTTTTAATTAAATTTAAGTTAAAAATATCTACATATGTATGTAAAAATTCCTATTTCAATAAAAAAAATTAAAATTAAAAGTTATAACGTTTTAAAGACACATTGGTAAAATTAGGAGATACAAATTATATAGGCATTTAACTACGATTTCCACGTTGATATCTACGTGAAGTTGTTTAGTAAACTTTACTTTATAAGTACACACAAAATTAGCTGCTTTGCCATCAATTGCAGCCGCTCGCAGTTTTGGAATTATTTCATCAAATTGCTGTTTTGTTTTTAAAATACGTATCTGTGGGAAGCCCCTAGAAACGCTCGATCGCGTTTCGAGCAAAACTGCGAGCGGCTGCCATTGCTGGCGACGTGAACGAATGAAAACGTTCATCCAGTCTGTGACCGGCTTAAGGCCTTTTAATTAATTTAATATAAAGTTTAAACGTGACTACCGTTCTACTTGGAAAACCTATGACAGTTTGGAATTACAATTTCAGTTAAAATTCCAATTTGAAGTTGATAAGTACCAAATTGAATTTGTTTGTTTCCAATTTGACTTTGTTTATTCCCATTTTTAACGTGTTTGTTACCAATTAAAAGTTGATTAATCCCAATTTGAAATTGTTACATTCCAAATTGAAATTGATTAGTTCCAATTTGAAGTTGAAAAGGTATAGTTTTGAACAACAAAATTAAAATATAAATTTGAATTGTTTTATAATTTAAACAACCTTTTATTTTGGGACACCCTGTATTGTATAAAATCTTGTAATGGGGTAATAATTGTTTTGTTAAAAAAATAGTGCTTTTAAATATGAAGGTGATAAAAAAGGAAGTTGGCATAACAATGTTTACCATATGACTAAACTAAAAGCTTGTATATCCCTACAAGTACCTACAGAGTACTTAAGTTGACTAAAGAATCAGTTAAACCAAGTTTACGTAAAAATTCAATTTTTATCCAAATTATACTATTAATGTGATAATGCATTTAATTAAATGCACTTACAATTTGGTATTATAATTGCCATGATAGCATATTTTCATATAAACAATGTCTAGCCAAATTGTGTTTATAAAGTACCTATATCTTATTTAAATTATATTTTGTTAAAATGCATGTTGCATGAACTGTTTGATTTAAATTTAGAAGTCATAAAAGTGATTTAAAATAATCAAAATACAAGGTCAGTGGTGCATTGACGCTTTAATCTAAAAACATTGCACATGCCAATTGACACATTTGATACTTTTATAATAAAATAATAACATTGTTTTGGTTAAATAATTTTAGCATGTTCAGGAGCAGATGTAGAAAGTTATTTTAACTAAAAAAATTGTTTAAATATTGCTTCTTTTAGTGTTAAAGTTTTCATTTTCTTTAGATTTTCTTTTTAGCCATTAGCCAAACTTTGTATGCGCGTATATCTTAAGGAAATACATTATTTATATTATTCTTGTTTTCGGTATAATAACTGATCATGTCGCCGTTGAAAATACGTAAAGGCGTATCTCGTTTTTTGTGCTAAGCAAAAATTTGTTATCCTTTATTACTTAATATGCTTAGCAACAAATACGAGATACCTTTGCAGATTTTCAACAGGGATATAGTTTTTTCTCAAACCACTGGTAAAGTTTGACAATAAATAGTATATTGTTCTAAATATAAGTGAAGAAAATTGATAGTTTTCTATTGAGTGTACATATCAAATAAAATTTCCACTAGATAGAAAACTCACATTCCCCACTAATTGAAAATGCTGTCTTTGGAAATAACTTTCTGCAGAAATCTATAATGGTGGTAATTTAATATTAATAATTTAATTTATAATTTGCTAATATTAGATTTCAGGCCAATTATTTTATAGAAAGAATAAAGCTTTTGTCCCACACTCACTTAGAATTGAGACATTATAAGTACGCTCGAAAACAATGGACAAGTTAGCCATTGTTACACTAGTTGAACAATGACAATATTGTACCACTAGTGTAACAATGAAAAAGAAGAAGACAATAACTTTTAATATTGTTGACAATTATTATAAACAATACATTCCAGCTATTTTTTACACACAGTTGAAACATACTTAAAATATTTTTTTAAACATTGTTGACATATTTGGAATTAAATTTTAAAGGAAAATAGGTAATCCCAAAAAACATAAAACAATGTTAAAAAACTTAACCTTTAATAAATAGATACCTAATTGCATTTTTTTACTATTAATCATGGTTTTAGTGAGTCGGGTGCATATGTCTCTCTCTCTTTGGAATTAAATTTCAAAGGCAAATAATCCCAAAAAACAATGTTAAAAAACTTAACCTTAAAAACCAAATACTTATAAGTAAAAATGATTTGACATTACCTATGTCCACAGCTGGGAAAGTAACTTCTGAAAAGTATCTAGTTACTTTTCTAAGATACTTTAAACAAAATAACGTAGTTACCTCGGGTATCTAGATACTTTGAGTTAAAAGTATCTTTAGTTACAATATATATTAGGGTGAGCCAAAAAAACTAACCTATCGGATTTATGGGTTAAAATGAACCTACATACCGAGAAAAAAATGTCCCTGCAAGGCAAAATTTTTTGCTCAATTTTAAAAGGTGTCGGTGAGCATTCTAAGTTTTCCATTAAAATAACATGTAAAAAAATCTTTTTTCATTAAAAAGACTATAACTTTTGAACCGTTTGAGATAAAATTTTTTACGTCGCGGATTCTTGTAGAGCATAAAATTTCCCAAAGAATCTATACCAGGATTATAAAATTCGTATGTTTAAAAGCTTTGAAAAGTGTAAAAAATCACTAAAACTGCAGTTTTAGGGATTTTTTACACTTTTCAAAGCTTTCAAACATACGAATTTTTGAATTAAAAAAAATAATCCTGGTATAGATTCTTTGGGAAATTTTATGCTCTACAAGAATCCGCGACGTAAAAAAATTTATCTCAAACTGTTCAAAAGTTATGGTATTTTTAATGAAAAAAGATTTTTTTACGTGTTATTTCAATGGAAAACTTAGAATGCTCACCGACACCTTTTAAAATTGAGCAAAAAATTTTGCCTTGCAGGGAAATTTTTTGCTCGGTATGTAGGTTCATTTTAACCAATAAATCCGATAGGTTAGTTTTTTTGGCTCACCCTAATATATATATATAATATATATATATATATATATATATATATATATATATGTATATTTAACATTTAGGGTTAATGTTATCTCAAATTCTTTACATTTCGGTCTTAATATAGCGTAGGTATAATATTTATCAAGTTGAATAAAAATACCTCTCAGTGAATTCACGGTGGATTTATTTTTAAAGATTTACGGCGGGAGCCCGGTGTGATTAAAAGTGCATTCACGAATGTTAACTGGGTATTTGCTTCTTTTCTAAATAAAATATATTTTTTAGGTCATAGGAAACAACATTTGTCAAGCTACAAATAAGCAACTATTGCAGCTGGTTGAATGGGCTAAACTCATTCCTCATTTCACATCTTTACCCGTAACTGACCAGGTGCTATTACTTAGAGCCGGCTGGAATGAATTACTTATTGCTGCCTTTTCACATAAATCTATACAGGCTCAAGATGGTATAATTCTAGCAACCGGACTAACAGTAAACAAGTAAGAATAACTTTAACTAAAAAACATATACTTGTGATGTTGTATAAATAAAATAAAAACTACTTACACTGTTTTTTTAGATTTTCATGAGTATACTTATATCGGGTGATTCATTTAGACCTTTGTTTTTAAATTCTAAATAAAGTGCATAAAATGGAATTGGATGGCGGAATCTTTATTATGACCTAAAAGAACAATCTTTGACATTTATTTTTTGAAAATAATTTCATTTAAATGCTGGCCGGGACTACGGCGTACGTGGTCCATTCGGAAGGTCCAATTTTCGATCACTCTTTCTAGCATTGCGACCGGTATCTGCCCAATTAGGCGAGTAATGTTGGCTTCTTAGTCCTAAATCGTAGCTGGATTATCGACGAAGACTTTTAATTTAAGAAGACGGAGCTACGGCACACACAGCGCGCGAAACAATAGCTTTATTGAGAAATCATTACTCGGGTAATTGGGCAGATACCGGTCGCAATGCTAGAAAGAGTGATGGAAAATTGGACCTTCCGAATGGACCACGCTGTACGCGGCCAGCATTTAAATGAAATTATTTAAAAAAAATAAATGTCAAAGATCGTTCTTTCAGGTCATAATAAAGATTCGGCAATCCAACTCCATTTTATGCGTTTTTATTTAGAATTAAAAAAAAGGTCTAAATGAATCACCCTTTACTTATACTTCTCACTTATAGAATAATAATATATATTTTTATACGAGAGATAATGCAGGCTATTATTTAAAAGGATGAGGTTTGCATCTCGAGCCGTCAGGCGAGATACGTAAATTATCAGAGTGAATAATAAGCATTATTTCGAGTGTAATACTATGCATTTTCTACTTCAATTAAGTAATTTTTATTAATAACAAAATTTATTATAACCTCACTTTCTCCCGATTTTAAAGATCATTATAGTTGCCCCTCGCCGGGCGGCAGATACTCTTGGCTCGGCCCTGCATAATTTATGCCATATAATGTTTAATTTTTCGAACATATTGTATGTTCCAACGAACAATATTCTAGCAATTATTTTTTTAGACCAAAAATTACAATTTTTATGATGATCTTGTGGTTATAAACAAAAGGCTTTACAATTATTTGCATAGTATATTTAAAATGTTTAATTACTGAAACTTTGTTACAATTTCTTTTGTGGAAACATTTAAGGTATGAAAAAATTGAAGTGAATTTCCGTTCGGCAATTTTGCTTGTTATCTTTCAATTATGGGTATTTTTTTAATTGGTGTAAAAATAACTTGAAATGTTTCTATAATCATAACTAGAAACCGGATTATATGCATTTGCATATTATGATTATTTTTACAGATTTTAGCATATTTTACTGCACTACTACATTATTAGTTGTTTTGGGCATTTGCAGTAATGAATGCAGCAAAAAAGCAAAATTGTCCCACTTTGTCATAGGACAAACAACAACCCAGTATTTGATGTCAGTTATTAATGGCGCTAGTGAGACAATCGACATAGCTATCATCTTATGTCTAGCATCCAGATCCTATATTAGCAAATATAGCATGGTCAACTAAGCCCACCCAACCCAATGAGCACAGTGCTATTAGCACTAAGTAGTCAATTACTATAATTTATTATTTTATTATTATTATTTAAATATGTTTAATTGTTAAATCCATTAGAGCAGTAGTAGGTAAGTTATGTCGTTTATAAAATAAAGGCACTTCTCTGCTGGTTTGATTAATTTTAATAACCGACTAGTTTCGCCTTTATTTTATAAACAACATTATTATTTAACCTTTCAACATAATATTTGAAAAAGTAAATTATTGAAAACAGGAAGCATTTTTATGCATAAAATCCGGTCTCTATCATAACCATTAATTGTTTTTTTCTACTCCCACCATTATCCTACATGTTTCCATTACACTAAGTGATCTTTTAAATACACATTGACAAGTTGTGGCTTTATGGCTGAAGTAAGCAACAGAGTTTTAGTCACAGGCTGAAGTTAATTTAAGTTAATTGACAGTTGCCAAATGTCATAAAATCGTTAAAATAAAGTGCCCTTCTTGTAAAATAATAATGTGGAAATTATTTTATTATTTTTACAAAAATAAAAAGTATTAAATAGTTCTCAACGCCAATACTTATTTGAAAAGTTTATATGCAAATTTGTACTGACCTTTTGATTTTGCCGGCATTAAACTAGATTAAACTGAAAGCATTAAACATTTCAGGTGGAGACTCCACTTTGAAGTGCTTTAAAACATTCTCTTCTATCAAACGGTTGTTTTCAAGGGATAAATTTCAATTTAAACATATGTACAAGTTGGACATTTTGACTGGCGCGCTGGTAATAAGTTGAAAATTGTTACGCGAGTTGCTCTTTTTTTATAGATGTCGCTCTATCCAAATATTTAATTTAAATCATTTTTAGATAATTATAAGCATAAAGTATAGTCCCTGTTAAAAATCACCCATAGAGACCAATAGAAAAGCTATTGGGATTTTCCAGCGGCAGCTCTATTGGTTTGAATTGGTCTCAATAGTGGTATCTGTACCATGAATTACCAATTCAAACCAATAGCGACACCGCTGGAAAATCCCAATACAGACCGATAGAGACTAATCGTATTTTATTGGTAATTCCCAATAGATATATTTTATTGGTAATTCCCAATAGAACTATTTGGATTTTCCAGAGGTACCGCTATTGGTTTGAATTGGTCCCCACTATCCATTTTAGACGTCTTTAAGGTAAAAAATTACGTGTTTTGATGGTTAAATAAAATCTCAAAAATAGTGCTGTTTAACATTTAATTTAAATTTTATAAATAGCTTCTGCTAAAAGTAAGTAGTGGGGCCCACTGCTTACTTTTCGCAGAGTGGGCCACAGGACGATCTGTGCCCCTTTAAAAATTCCAAAACGCCAAGCGTTTCCATGGCCAGTAATTTTGCCTTAGTAAGGAATCCTTACTTAGCAGCTCAAGGCATTCCACCTTTATAGGCCTATGTATTGTGCTACAGAGGCGAGAGGTATGCATGGGTTGCCTACCTATAGGCGAATTTTGAAAATAAATATTAAAGTGGTAAATACCAATAGGGTTCCTTGTACCTACACACCGATAAAATACCAATTCAGACCATTAGTTTATCTATTGGTATTTTCCAGTAAGAAAATTGACAATAGAAACAAGTGGTCATTTGTATTAAATTGCGCAGGCGCTGAACATTTAAGTGGTATTTACCAATTGAATTTCTATTGGGAATTTCCTGTACTTGTAACTTCTTATAAAAACCAATTCAGACCATTAAGTAATCTATTGGCATTTTCCAGTACGGAAATTACCAATAGAAACCAATGCTCATTCTGTTGAGAAACCAATAGGCCCAATAAAGACCAATTCATTCCATTCTGATTTTTTATTGGTTTCTATTGGTCTCTATGGGTGATTTTTAACAGGGGTATGCAACTCGTTTATAAAATTTTCTAGACACTTATTTAATTCGTGACTAAAATGGCGTTTATTAAACTTGATACATAATATACTATTGTGAATTTACTTTAATGGATATTTTTAGAGAATGTAAATTTATTAAATGACTCTAAAAAGTGTTCAATTATTTGAGAGATTTTCCAAATTTTTACCAAGTGACTCTTATTATAATACCTCTTATTACCTATGTAAATTTTGATCAAAAATTGTTATTTAATAAATCTATTTCAGATCTACTGCTCAGGCTGTTGGTGTAGGCACAATTTATGATAGAGTCCTTTCAGAATTAGTAAATAAAATGAGAGAAATGAAAATGGATAAAACTGAACTGGGATGTTTACGAGCTATAATCCTGTTTAATCCAGATGTCAGAGGGTTAAAATCGACGCAGGAAGTCGAAATTTTAAGAGAAAAAATTTACGCTGTTTTGGAGGAGTACACGAGAACAACGCATCCAAACGAACCAGGTAGATTTGCTAAATTACTGTTACGTTTGCCAGCGCTAAGATCCATTGGTTTGAAATGTCTGGATCATTTATTTTTCTTTAGAATTATTGGAGATGGATCATCTATTGATACCTTTCTTACAGAAATGTTAGAAAATCAAAGTGATACCTAACAATTTTCATTACTAAATGCATTCAGTAAAGCAACCTAATTTTTAGATTTAAATACCTACTCATTCATTTCTTTTAATATGGTACAATGCATTTTTTAATAAAAACTTTGGGTAGATTACTTCTTTCCCTATTTTATAATCTTTGCAGAACTGTGATTTATATATATTTATAAAAAAATATGGAGTTTATGTTTTATCAATTGGACGAAGGTATTATTAGATTTTACGCGGGAAGATTTTATGGATTCTAAATGATTTTCTTATACAATATTTATAAACTGTTTATTTATTAAAAAATTTGTAAGTAATTTAAGTTACGTTTTTTACTTACTACTTTATTAATTTAGTGTAGCAATGAGATAATGTATACTTAGAGTAGATCTCAATGTTTGTAAATATTTTCCTAAATTTCGTTTTACAATAGATATGTGGTCTAAAATATAAATAAATACAAGTAAGGTGTCACATTAAATAATAATTAATATAATGTATATTAAACTAAATAATTACAAAAATTACCTTTAAATAATACCTTGTGTGTGTCAAATTTGTGTCCTAATTAGTTTCTTTGTTTAAAATAACACTTGTTTGTCTAAAATAAAATTGATCTTGAACTAGTTTTTTAATGTTTTAAGCTGAGCTTGGCAATTAAAGTAACTGATGGGAAAAGAGGGTTATAATAATTATAATTATTGTGCTATAAAGCAAAAACACTTGGTTTTAAATTTTGTAGTTCCTGATGTTTTATACACTTGTATTTATTTTTTTTATAAATTATAAACAAGTTTGGGCGATTCCATGATTACTAACAGGACAAGCAAAAAAACCAAAATGTTTTGTCCTCAGCAATGAAATTAAGTAATAATAACTATTATATAATTATTATTATTATATGTACAACAATCTTTAAAATTTTCATAAAACATTTTGTCTTGTTTTTGTTTGTCCCGTTAGTAATCATGGAATCGCCCATTTGTATTATCTTATTATTATAATAATATTATTACAATAATGGCAAAATATGCAAATATTTTTTATTCAAAATAAAGGATCATATTTGAATATACTATACCTAAGTTGAATTCGAAATTTTTTTAGTATTGTTCCTACAATATCACCTTTTATTAAAAACTTATTTTTAGAAATTGTAAATATGAATGTTTTGTATCTTACAATGTAAAATAAAGCTTTAACATCCTTGGTTTACCAAGGTTTTAAGAATAAAAATTTATTTAAGTTATCTAACTTATTCATTTATTAAGTGATTAAAAAGTGCCTGTAGGCACACTACATATTTATTTTGTTTTAATAAAGCTCAACATACTTTTTTACATTTTTGGTCATGTTTATTTATCATTTAAGCCGCGTACACAACGTATACGTTCGCACGTTACCGAACGCATACGTTTGTTAAATGAAGTACCAAAGGGGACATTTTTTTATGAGATTTTTCTTAAAAACGTAGTTACTATGTTTCTAACGAAAAATCTCAACCAAACAAATAATGGCACATACCCCCTTTGGTACTTCCATGCCTCAAATGTTCACGTATCAACAACCGCATGCTTTCGCGTGCATACGCTTGCTAAGTGTGTACGCAGCTTTATGTTATGGTTTATTTACAAATTCTAAAACTTTTTACATTGGTAAAACTGATATGTTAGTCCAACCTAGAATAAAGGCTCACTTTAAAAAGAGAATTTTGAGAATGCTCATAACACAACAAAACAATAATTTACTAACACTTTAACATATCTTTTTTTTCAGTGTGGCAGATATCTATAACATGTTAATAGCTAGAGTAAAATTAAATTAAAGTTTTTTGTTACACATTTGAATTTTTTTATTTTTTATGTAAACATATGAAAATTTAATTCTTGCAACGAAATCAAACTTTTACACTGTAACTATTAATATGTTACTTATGTTTTAGTAACTAAATTTGAAAGATAAATTAGGTATTTATACTTTGTACTTTTTCAAAATCAAAATGCTTACTATTGCCAGATGCTATTCAGGGTAAAACATTATTAATTTCACATGTTTTCTTTTAATTCATCCAATAACAGTAACAAACAAATTTCATTAAAATTTTTAAACCCGCTTTAAACCAGTAAAATGTTATATGACTTACCCTGTATACTACATAGGCAATACAGCCTGGGAAATAATTAATATTATTATTTATTAATTGCTATTCTTAAATATTAAATTATTATTTAAGGAGCAGTATTCAGAAAATAAATAAATAATTTATGTTCTGTATATTATTAGATTAATTTTTCTGATGAAAAATATAGCTAGGCAGCTTAAATTTTTGTAAATATAAACATTCCAAACATAGTACTATAACAAAAAAACAATATTAAAATTAAGATAGGTCTATAGAATTGTTGTGTATGAATATTATACAAATCTATAGGTATTTAAATTATGTTTGTGTATAACTAACTGTTAAAGTTTGAAGATTTTTACTTGTTAAATAATCATGATTTATAGTTTATAGTTACTTCAAGTATTCTATATGTACAGTGAATAAAAAAAATTGTCATATTTTAATGAGTAAATAAATTAGTTTTTTGAGAAAGATTTTTTTTTAAATAATCCTACTTTGTTTCCTATTATAGCACGATAGCACAGTATAAAAAGAAAAGTAGCGAAACTGCTATTTTTAACAGAAATCGTGACATCATATTATTCGACCTTGACTGATCCCAAATGATCCCGAGATTATGTTACGCCTTGGAATGCATTCCTTTCTTCTTCTCACTTTTAAAACTGCGGAAACTAGGGCCTCTTAGATTCCCAAAGTTGTGTTTATTGTTTATACCTATAGAGTTTTTTAGTTTGGTTTGAGAAGAAGACCACTAATTGAATAATTGGAATAAAAATATTGTACTGTAAGGTTTTGTTTTGTAAGAACACATCAAAATACATTTATGGTAAGTTTAAAGTCTTTATCTACTCAAATAAGTAAATAATTTAATAATTTTTGAAAAATAAATAAATAAAATCTGACATCAGATTCTGTCAAATGGTTAACCTCACTTTTTACCAATTTTAAATGTTATAGTCGCCTTCTCCCAATTTAAAATCCGATTTGTTCAAATCACAGTGAATATTGAAATCGGTTAATCCCTGATGCCTAACAACGTGAATAATTCCAATTATTAGGAATTTATAATGTTTATCATTATTCACGAAAAAAACAATGTTATGCAATAGGAGTAGATAAAATTATTATTTTCGCGCCAATTGTCAAACGCGTTTAACAAAAAACCCAATATTATACAATAGGAGTAGATAAAAGAACTTATATCAATTTTTTTATTTTAATTTTTAAACATTAAGTATAGGTACTTGCCTATGCCTATAGGCATTTCTAATTTTTTATTTTATTTTTAAATCTTCAAATGTGGTGTTATTAATTGTGAAGCATTAATTAAGACACATTGTAGGAATATCAAAAATAATTTATGCACATATGCATTATAATAATTATTATCTTTCTCTCTTAAGTTGCAAGAAAAAATGTGTTAAGACTTAACACATTTTTCTTCCAATTTTGTAAATTAAAATAGAATTACAAAATAAATAATTTTCCATAAAAACTATAGCATACCTTAAGGTATCAGTAAAATTTTTTACTGATACAGTTACTTGCAGATGGAGTATTGGTAACCACTTGAGCAACTTTGCCGTCGGTCATGGTAAAATGTAATTCGTGCTTTACCTTGACAGTTCGATTTCCAGATGTTATCAAGGTCTTAAATAATTCCTTTATTTCAGTGTCAACTCGATTTTTCTCAAGCCTCGTCAGCTTGGGGGTTTCATTCTTATATTGGAAATGTAGGGCTCCACAATAGTTCGTTGAGGATAGACACAAGTTCTTCCAAATATCTATGTTGTCTATGCCTGCAGCTGTGATCCAAGAAAGTCATAAACAGATTGGAGTCAGATGCAACATTGCTGATATTCACTTGGCCGGAAGCGCCATATATTCCCCATTTTGTATGAACTACGTTTTCTCGCCAGGCATTGATCTGAAAATTCTTGTTGCTGTATGGTCAAGTAAATCTTGCAACGGAACCTTGGCCGAAGTTTCCGTAATATTAATATTCTTCGGATACAATTTTTTCTTAGCTTCCAGTATTTTATCATAGCTTGGAAATATATTGGTCTTTTTCTTTTATCGCCTTCCTTATGACTTCATTTGATATAAAGTGCTTTTAGTTCCATCCTTACTTCCTAAGAAGTTCAAGAAGCCAAATGAATGGCTTGAGAGGGTTAGGGGTAGGAACGGACCGCGGGCATAAAGTCCCCTCCGAAGGACTAATACACAAATAAACAACCATACTAATATTGGACTCGAACCCACGATCTCAGATACCGCGGTCAACAGTAATGACAAATTTAAGAAGGTATTTGGAAATAGAAATAATGGAACATGAATTTTAGATAGGAAGAATGCTTCAGATGCAGGGAATTCACCCATATCATTACCGACGGGTGCAGCATTTAGAACCACGTGACTTTTTTTCCAAGATTACAATTCTGCCAGTGGGTTTTGAATCATGCAAATTTTCTTCCCAACATCCTTTGGAGTGATGAAGCTACGTTTACCAATGATGGAGCATTTAATATGCTTAACAGTCATTTTTGGGCCACCGAAAATCCTTGAGTAGTACGACGGACAAGCTTCCAACTTAGATTCTCGGTGAATTTATATAATAGGAGATCAACTAACTGGTCCAAGATAACTCCCCAATCGCCTTAATGCGAATGGTTATTTAAACTTCCTTCAAAACAATCTCGGTGAACTGTTGGAAGATTTTCCCTTGAATTTGCCGAACATAATGTGGTATCAGCATGATGGGGCGCCAGCTCATTAGGCGCGAAATGTTAAATGACAACTTTCCTGATCGGTCGTAACGGGCCCAAAGCTTGGCCAGCCCGATCTCCAGACTTAAACCCACTACTATAGTATAGTGGGCCACTGGACTTTTATTTATGGGGGTATCTAAATTCTTTGGTGTACGCCACCGCGCGAAGAGCTGCTGCAAAGAATAACTGTAGCTGCAAAGAATAACTGTAGCTGCAAAGAAT